ATTTAATTAACCAAAATAATTACATATTTATTAATAACAAATTAATTCTTAAACAAAACTATTAAATATAAACTACGCAAACGTGCATTGCACGTTGCTTACACCTAGTATTAAAAAAAGTAGTTAAAAACAGCGCTACTAAGCAAAGCTAAAGGCCTCTTTGTTTGCAAAGTTAATTTATATTTTATACCTATTGTTTCCACATTTTACATTTTATTTACTCCCACTACTAAAATGTGCAGCTTCTGCAATGGACTTTTCTGTCGGTAAAGGCAAAAATGCCATCGGTAAAACTATTTGTCCATGGAATTTTTCCTTTGGTATATATTGAAGGTAAAAGTCCCGCCATTAATTTTTTGACGCCAGGATAATTAATTTGTTGGTGACCACCGACGGATTTAACAATGGATTCTTATCAACTGAAAATACCGATGAATTTCAATGAAAGTTATTAGCAACAATTTCAATGATGACTTGGTTTGATGGAAATTACTGATGTATTTGTCCGTTTCTATTTTCGTTGGTAAATTCCTACGTTACTTCCTTCGAACAAAATGTCATTCCTAATTTCTGATAAAAGTTTCCTATGAAATTAAATTCGATGCAAATTTGTTTAAGATTTATGAAAAAAATATAAATTTGTATTGTTATATTAATTTCTTATTCTTGTGAATTAATAATATTAAAATGTATATACACCAAGTAATATGAAATCACAAGTAATTTGATTCCATTGCTTTATTTCATAGTATCAAACTGCAAAAAAGTTACAATTGTCACTGCCAACTTGCTTTCATCCCAAAAACTTCTTAACATCCACTACATTGTATGTCTTGAAACGTATAACAAAATAACAAAAGTGTAGTTGATAGGCCAACTTCCCTTTGAACTCGAAATCAATACTCTTGCTCTCATCTTCATGCCTCTTCTTTCCATTTGTCGTTCGAACTTTATACGCTCCCATCTCATATCTTTTATCTCTCGACGCATATCCTCCTTTTCCCTTGTTAGCTCATCAATCTTCTCGCAATCATTGTGAAGCTGCTCTTTCCAACTAATGTCTCCATCATCATGCTCTATTGACAGAACAAATAAAGCAAGCAAAGCATACATAAATTATACTAACCAGCAAAGGGTGTCCAAAGAACCATGAAATATATTTAGCAGAGTGTCCAAAAGAACTACTTGGAACCTATCAACAACTGAAGAAGTCAACAAGAAACATACAAAAATAAATTTAGCAGAGCAAATTGGGAAGTTGGCCTAGTCTCTTGCACTAACTCGAGTGCTTGGACTATATTCTTCACTCTACAAGTTGTTACTATGTCCTTTTTAAGCAGCTTTATCAAGATGTCTTAAAATCATGGTCTTCCTTGTATAAACAGAGTAGATTATATGACTTTGGAAGCTCCAAATGTATGACAAAACTCAAATAGAATACAGAAAACAGTACATATCAACTCTAACTAAAAAGAATATCTTAATTAATTCAGCTATGGAATATGAAGTGGGACCTTTTTTATCGGCAAATTTCTGCAAATTCTCCAGGAGCAATCCATTTATCAACAAATATCATTAATACACGCATTGATCTTCATAATGCCAAGGCTAGGACTAGACAATTTTTTATTATTATTCTTTATTAAACGTAGCTTCTAACTGGTTTCCTTTCGAAAAAATTTCCTTAATTATGGATAACATCTGATCACTACACATCATAGGCATATAAGATTCAGACTTCAAATTCAAGAGTCGGGTGCTATCCATTTTGTATAATCACTTGCAAACCCAATTTTATAAAGATGAAATTTTACATATCTCCTTACTGAAATTCCCCGTTGTCACATTTAGAGTATGGGCACTTAATTTTGTCTCCAACTCTTTGTTGCGAAAAGGCAAATTCAATGAACTTTTCAACCAATTTAATAAATATATCTGAAAGAAATTCATCAACAACTCGTTCAAACATCTAACTATGGTCATCCTCCATATTGTTCAACAATGTTACATCTATGATCGAACTACAGACAACCTCTATATTCTATTTGGGGGGAAATTACGTAACAATTACGCTGTGATCGAGTTTTTGAGAAAGAAAAATTGCTCCAATTGAGGATTTTATGTTTGGGCCTAGCACTATTATGATAGAGGCAGATCAAATACTACCAACAAATCACCAATAGAAATATTCTTCGATATATTTTAGGTAGTTTTGACTTTTTTTTATTCAGAATTTACCTACGGAACGAAAAGGCATTGAAGACTGATAGATGTTGCTTCCGTTGGTACCTAGTCATTGTAATTTAAAATATTTATTAACAAATATTGTTGGAAAAGTGTCAATAATCCGTTGCTAATAGCGATGAAACCAGTTCGTCGCTGAAAGTGTCCCTCGATTAGTGGAATGATTGATAAGTGGGTAATTGATGCAGGGGGATCCGAGCCAGACGAGACCGAGCTGTCTGATAGTTCATTAATGACGCTGAGATACTATGAGTTGGTGGATCAGTGCAAGAATGGCAAGTAATCATTGATCTTTCCTAATTGGGGCCGCTTTTGAACACGTTTCGGTA